ATTTGAATGTTAGGAGTGCGTCAGGGAGCGTCATCAGTGGCGCGCGAGATGCGGATGTAAGTATGTAAGTGACGTTGTTGCATTTTAATGTTTTGTTAGTCTAGCCCACGAGACGCGCCGCTGCTGCGTTATGATATTAGAGGTTTTGTTAGTCTAGCCCACGAGACGCGCCGCTGCTGCGTTATTCATTCAAGATATTAGAGAAATATAGAAGCTAAATGCGGAGAAGATCTTGAATGGGTTAAAACCGAAACCAAGCCATTCACACAGAACGCATATTCAGCTAATTTTTTTAGACGGACAAATGTGACTGCTGCACTCGCGTCTCACAGAAGAGATGTATAGAAAGCCATGCAAAGTTAAAACAGTTGAAACTTTTAGAAAACACGTCGCACATTTGTGGAGGTTTATTCCTTTTCACTGCGTCTCATATGTTTTTAAATGCAGTCTGTGTGAATGGCGCTTCGGCTCTTTGGATTAAGCAATGCATAAATACATGATGCCGTTTTGTTCAAAATTGTTTATGCAATTTATGGAATTATATTTGATTTTTATGAGTTAATTTAGACGTAATGCTCGTTTTTATAGAGTTACTTCCTTGCGTTGACAATTTAAATGCGCTGCATTATTTTGCTCATTGCACCCTTCTGTGGCTTTGGGAGACAATTAAACCTATACAATAAAGACCTATTTAATCTGCATATAAAACATTAGAAATTAGCTATTTGTTTAATTTTTATTGTGTTTGATTGTTAAAACAAAAAATATTTGTTTGTCTCAATAAATTGTGTTAATTATAAATAGTGGTTAAATTTAAACTTTTTTTTCTATTGCTATTCGTTTTAAAAAAGGTTATAAAAAAGTCAATAATTATCGATATAGAACGATATGAAACATTATATCGTTGATACATTTTTTAGCTATATCGCCCAGCTCTATACAAAAGGCTTCATACAAAGAGCAAAATAAAATTAATATTCCATTCCATTCATATGCTTCATATTCATATTCCATTCATCTGATGACATAGTGACAACGTTATTTACGAATAATGGGTTTAATGACAATAATACAGTACTACTGTACTTTGATAATAGTAGTGCTGTTGGAATAACTTTGAAAAAAAAAAAAAAGGCCAACAGAAATGTATTGATTTTTGTTTGCAATATCCACAACAAATATTCACTCTTGGCATAAAAAAAGCCTTAAGACTAGGATGACAATGACATTTGAGTTCACTTGTTTATTATTTGGTTAACGAATAAAGGCCACTCATGAAGGCCTAATGCTTTTAAAATAGATTGAGTCATAGAAAAACTACATTCATAATTAAAAACAGCAATTTGCTACAGTAGCACCTCATAGATTTTAACATTTTTTAAATAATTAAAAAGCTGAAAGGTCTTATACTTTAATATTCTCTGCCGTCAGTATAAATTAGTTGACAGTCTAATAAGGTCATGCAAACAATTTAGGGCTCATGATTTGCTGCTGAAAGTGAACGACTGGTACTAAAACTTTTTATACTACATTTATGCAGATTATTTTATTTTTAATGTATTCAAAGTAAACATTTTCAGACCATACATTGTTTTTGCTATGCTATTCTTTAGTGAGCCATGACCACAACAGCTCATTAAAATATTGCAAGGCTAGAAGAAACATATATAGTACTTTTAGAAAACTACTTGCCTGCAAGATGGCTACAATCACTCCAAACAGTCCAATGGCACTGCCGAAAATTTCAACAATGAGGATCTTGACAAAGAGGCTGGCATTCTGAGCATCAGCAAGGGCAGCTCCACTGCCCACAATGCCAACACAGATGCCACAGAAGAGGTTTGAAAAGCCAACAGTGAGTCCAGCACCAAACATGGAGTAGCCTGAAAGAACAGCACCAATACGTCATCCAGCCGCTCAGCAGAGGCAAAGGAAAATATTTCACTTAAGATGACAAGTGATTCATAAGCAAAATATACCTGCTTGGTAGTTCTTCTCCCCAATAGTCTCTGGAGTCGTACCAGTGAAGTTCTAAATTACATGAAACGGAAAAAAAAAAGTTGAGAACTACTGTTGTACATGTAATGCAACAAAACAGATTTTAAATGTTGTAAAAAGCTCAAATATCTGCACTCTTAACGCACAACAAAAATACTAAAATCTCTTTAACATAAGACTCACTCCAAAACCAAAGCGTTCAAAGAAATGGGTCAATAATTGTTTACTTACCTCTGCCAAATTGCTAATGACAATTGCCATGATGATCCCATAAATGGCAACAGCTTCACAAAAGATAATGCTAGAAAAAAAAAGACAAATTCAATGAACTGTCACCAAGTGCCAGTGTGAGCCAAAAAAGCCTTAGGCAAGCAAATAAAAGTATGAAATGGAATCATATATAAAAACAACTGTTTTTTTTCATATCTGAAAAAAGCGGCATGAACTAATAAAAAATCTTTTGCCTAAAATTTCACTTCATCTGCCTTTTTTAATAGACAACTGCAGAATAAATGTGGCAACACTGGTGTTGATGCAAAAATTAAAATATGACAAATACAATAATAACATTTTATAAATATATACACTAATTCTGAATCCAAATTGTCTCCATGTGATAGCAAAAAGAGCATATTTGTGTGTAAAAAAAAAAAACTTTAAAACATTAAGTAAACTGCACATACCTGACAAGATTTTTGGTCTTGATTCTAGGGGCTTTGACTCCACCACCAATGATGCTGGACCCAGTGACATAAATCCCCCTGCAGAGTCACAGGACAAAATATAGCATTTTAAATATTCATTTTTTTTCCTAAACTGACAGCTTGTTTATCACATTTCAAGATATATTATATCAGATATACAAAAAAGAAGCATGCAATATTCATTTTGGTGAGTACGCTATTGATAAAAAGACAGAGCTGAATGCATTTAAAACAGTGCAGAAGAGGATTTGGAAAACTTTACTACAACTAGGGCTGTGCGATATGACGATTTGTGATCGTGGATGATTAAAATGTCTCCACGATCTGCTTTTGAAGAAATATCGTAGTACTGTGCTACACTGCACATTCTATCAGTCGCAGTTCTGGTGCCTCCATCTCAATATACTGTACAACGCCACATACATTCACATCATATGTTAACTCAGCGGTAGAGTTACACTCACGGCACACTGCACTTATTCATAATCACAAAAGTACATTGTTTGCATGTGCTTTAAAGCCTTACCGGTTAAACATTTAATTCACTGACAGTCTAATAAGGTCATGCAAACAATTTAGGGCTCATGATTTGCTGCTGAAAGTGAACGACTGGTACTAAAACTTTTTATACTACATTTATGCAGATTATTTTATTTTTAATGTATTCAAAGTAAACATTTTCAGACCATACATTGTTTTTGCTATGCTATTCTTTAGTGAGCCATGACCACAACAGCTCATTAAAATATTGCAAGGCTAGAAGAAACATATATAGTACTTTTAGAAAACTACTTGCCTGCAAGATGGCTACAATCACTCCAAACAGTCCAATGGCACTGCCGAAAATTTCAACAATGAGGATCTTGACAAAGAGGCTGGCATTCTGAGCATCAGCAAGGGCAGCTCCACTGCCCACAATGCCAACACAGATGCCACAGAAGAGGTTTGAAAAGCCAACAGTGAGTCCAGCACCAAACATGGAGTAGCCTGAAAGAACAGCACCAATACGTCATCCAGCCGCTCAGCAGAGGCAAAGGAAAATATTTCACTTAAGATGACAAGTGATTCATAAGCAAAATATACCTGCTTGGTAGTTCTTCTCCCCAATAGTCTCTGGAGTCGTACCAGTGAAGTTCTAAATTACATGAAACGGAAAAAAAAAAGTTGAGAACTACTGTTGTACATGTAATGCAACAAAACAGATTTTAAATGTTGTAAAAAGCTCAAATATCTGCACTCTTAACGCACAACAAAAATACTAAAATCTCTTTAACATAAGACTCACTCCAAAACCAAAGCGTTCAAAGAAATGGGTCAATAATTGTTTACTTACCTCTGCCAAATTGCTAATGACAATTGCCATGATGATCCCATAAATGGCAACAGCTTCACAAAAGATAATGCTAGAAAAAAAAAGACAAATTCAATGAACTGTCACCAAGTGCCAGTGTGAGCCAAAAAAGCCTTAGGCAAGCAAATAAAAGTATGAAATGGAATCATATATAAAAACAACTGTTTTTTTTCATATCTGAAAAAAGCGGCATGAACTAATAAAAAATCTTTTGCCTAAAATTTCACTTCATCTGCCTTTTTTAATAGACAACTGCAGAATAAATGTGGCAACACTGGTGTTGATGCAAAAATTAAAATATGACAAATACAATAATAACATTTTATAAATATATACACTAATTCTGAATCCAAATTGTCTCCATGTGATAGCAAAAAGAGCATATTTGTGTGTAAAAAAAAAAAACTTTAAAACATTAAGTAAACTGCACATACCTGACAAGATTTTTGGTCTTGATTCTAGGGGCTTTGACTCCACCACCAATGATGCTGGACCCAGTGACATAAATCCCCCTGCAGAGTCACAGGACAAAATATAGCATTTTAAATATTCATTTTTTTTCCTAAACTGACAGCTTGTTTATCATATTTCAAGATATATTATATCAGATATACAAAAAAGAAGCATGCAATATTCATTTTGGTGAGTACGCTATTGATAAAAAGACAGAGCTGAATGCATTTAAAACGGTGCAGAAGAGGATTTGGAAAACTTTACTACAACTAGGGCTGTGCGATATGACGATTTGTGATCGTGGATGATTAAAATGTCTCCACGATCTGCTTTTGAAGAAATATCGTAGTACTGTGCTACACTGCACATTCTATCAGTCGCAGTTCTGGTGCCTCCATCTCAATATACTGTACAACGCCACATACATTCACATCATATGTTAACTCAGCGGTAGAGTTACACTCACGGCACACTGCACTTATTCATAATCACAAAAGTACATTGTTTGCATGTGCTTTAAAGCCTTACCGGTTAAACATTTAATTCACATGCTGTTCTGACATGCACATTTTCTGAGTGCGCACACTAAGCCTGTCAAACAGCCTGATTACTGGACTGAGTAATCTTTCGTGTCTGATTGCGCTAATACTGTCAAAATATAAGCACAGTTGGTTATGTCTAAAGTGAAAGTAAACAGTTGAGAGAAAAACGGATGTATATTACATGCGTGCAGCTCTTAAAGGGTTAGTTCACCCAAAAATGAAAATTCTGTCATTAATTACTCACCCTCATGTCGTTTCAAACTTTTTTGAAAACTTACAAACAACTTACAAAATAGTAAAACCAACTAGGGCTGGGCGATATGGCCTAAAAAAAAAAAAAATCCCCAATTTTTTCACAAATAATCTGATTTACGATTTAAATCGATTCCCCCCCCCCCTACTTAAAATCAATCTGCAGATGACAAAGAAATTGTTCAAAACAAGTTTTAACTTTATTTTGTTTTGATTTTCCCTTCTGGGATTTGATCTGGATTTCCTCCTTGGGGTTAAAATGCAAACAGAAACAACAAGCCAAAAGGACAAGATGGCAGGCCCTGCAGTGAAAATACCGTAAACATAACATTCTTATCATACCGGATACCGTTTGTAAATGTTTGTAAGACCGTAGGTCAGTGGTCTTCACAATTTTTTTCATGGGAGCTGCACTGATAGGGCAAAGTCAATCAGAGAGCCACTTTTACTGCGAAGTGTCAAAACTTACATCTAGTCATAAATAGCATGTCTTTTTTATCAATCTGTCATCCCTGATATGCAATGCAATGCAAAAGGGGCCATCATTCTTTATCATTTACCAGTCAAATTTGTAACTGAGACAAGATGACTTAAAAAAAAATTATTACCTTTATGCTGGAAAGCCCTTAAGTTCTTTTTTTTTTATACTAGCCCATCATGTATCTAACCATCCAAGCGCACATTCGGCCTTAAGAGATGTTAAGATTAAAACTGGCAACTCCGCAATGAGTTAGTGTCATGGACGTAGGACAGAGCAAGTGTAAATATCTTTTGTAGTCTATACTTCCATCTTGTAATGCTGCTGTTTTAGTTTTTTTTTTTCATATATAAATTATTTGTAATAGAGCAGAGACTGACCGTGTCTACACACCGGACGCGGCGACAGTTGTCTTACCGCACCCCACTGCGCTAAAAGTCTGTCTACACTTGTTGACACTACAGTTGCAAATCATCTGAACGTAGTGTCAGTACAGTTTGTCATAAATAGAACGAGGCATCAGTTTACTGATGGGGATCGTGTCGCATCGTGCCGCATCCAGTGTAGACAACATCACTGGGTTCTGTTGTCTTTTGTCGGATCGCGCCACTCGCGTCCGGTGTAGACATGGTGCGAGTTTTTTTAATGGGTTAAGTTATAGCCTGTTTGTTTTTAATGTTTTTCTGAAATATCTGTATTGACTGCATGATCATATCATCGTATTATTTACTGCCATGCGAGCCACAAAGTAAAGCTTGGCGAGCCGCGCAATGAGTAGCACTGGTCTAGATCAATTGAAATCTAAAATACTTAAAATCAATCTGCAGATGACAAAGAAATTGTTCAAAACAAGTTTTAACTTTATTTTGTTTTGATTTTCCCTTCTGGGATTTGATCTGGATTTCCTCCTTGGGGTTAAAATGCAAACAGAAACAACAAGCCAAAAGGACAAGATGGCAGGCCCTGCAGTGAAAATACCGTAAACATAACATTCTTATCATACCGGATACCGTTTGTAAATGTTTGTAAGACCGTAGGTCAGTGGTCTTCACAATTTTTTTCATGGGAGCTGCACTGATAGGGCAAAGTCAATCAGAGAGCCACTTTTACTGCGAAGTGTCAAAACTTACATCTAGTCATAAATAGCATGTCTTTTTTATCAATCTGTCATCCCTGATATGCAATGCAATGCAAAAGGGGCCATCATTCTTTATCATTTACCAGTCAAATTTGTAACTGAGACAAGATGACTTAAAAAAAAATTATTACCTTTATGCTGGAAAGCCCTTAAGTTCTTTTTTTTTTATACTAGCCCATCATGTATCTAACCATCCAAGCGCACATTCGGCCTTAAGAGATGTTAAGATTAAAACTGGCAACTCCGCAATGAGTTAGTGTCATGGACGTAGGACAGAGCAAGTGTAAATATCTTTTGTAGTCTATACTTCCATCTTGTAATGCTGCTGTTTTAGTTTTTTTTTTTCATATATAAATTATTTGTAATAGAGCAGAGACTGACCGTGTCTACACACCGGACGCGGCGACAGTTGTCTTACCGCACCCCACTGCGCTAAAAGTCTGTCTACACTTGTTGACACTACAGTTGCAAATCATCTGAACGTAGTGTCAGTACAGTTTGTCATAAATAGAACGAGGCATCACTTTACTGATGGGGATCGTGTCGCATCGTGCCGCATCCAGTGTAGACAACATCACTGGGTTCTGTTGTCTTTTGTCGGATCGCGCCACTCGCGTCCGGTGTAGACATGGTGCGAGTTTTTTTAATGGGTTAAGTTATAGCCTGTTTGTTTTTAATGTTTTTCTGAAATATCTGTATTGACTGCATGATCATATCATCGTATTATTTACTGCCATGCGAGCCACAAAGTAAAGCTTGGCGAGCCATGCAATAAGTAACACTGCTATAGGTTGTTTTTTGGCGGGTGTGCTTGTGCTGCCGCGGTCTTGTTCATTTCGTAGTGCGCAACATCTCTCTCACTCGGCAGCATGCCTCTGTTTGAGGTGCTGCAGTAAATCGGTCGTACTGCTACCTTTGCTAGCAACAGACTTCAAACACACTTTGCAGTAGGGTATTGTTTGTTCTGCATCTGACGCCGCAAAACCGAACCAATTCCAAATTACGGATGACACTGTGCCATCCGTAACTTGGGAACGAGTTCTTCCCTGCTCGCTGCCATGTTGTTTGTGTATCTCTATGGTAGGTATGGGCCGATTATCGGTTTCAAGGTATACCGCGATTTGAAAATTTCACGGTTTCAAAACCGCTAATATTTTCCGCTATACCGTTCCTGCGGTATGCGCTGTTTTTCATGTCTCCTCAAAGACTGAAAGTGTAGGAATCCCTCAGGTTGAGTGCAGTGTAGAGAGTAACACGACGTCCGAACTAAGGAGCTTCCCCTGGAACGTACGCGATCGGCAACCGGACGTTTTTTATCTTATTGCAAGCAACTCGTCTCTGTTCTGGACTTGCACAAACTGCGTTGTAATGCAATCGTTTTCCAAAATGTAATTTATGTGAAAATATGAAGTCTGTAAACACCCATTAACACAGGCCAGAGATGTTGAAGACGGACGCACAGAGGAAAACACTGTAGCAGGCAGATCACTCACGGTTCATGATGCACGAACTATTGGAAGAAAATCCTCAATATTGATTTGGGGGTTTATATGAATGCGTTTCTGAGGGGAACTGACCGTCTTCAGAAAAGTTTATGTGGTATTTTCTTTTAATCTCGTCTCTGTATAGTTCATATTAATGCAATGTTTCAGCGCAGTGCTGCTTTGTTTACAGCAATAATAAACAAGGAAACGCCGTATGTGGTGTTCCAGAAGCGCCTCCTGCTGTCAGAGAGTGAATCTGTGTCTCATTCAGAGCTTCTGTTTGTTTCGTTCAGGTAGTATAATTTCACAAAGCTAGTCAGAACATTCTGTTTTTGCTTCAAATTGGGTTATTATTAAATCAAATTATGTATATAAAATTATATAACTAAATGACATGAAATAATATAAATGATATGTATATGAATTATATAACTAATTAAATAACTAATTACAGATTTAGGTTAATTTTTCTTCTTTTTAGGAAACTAATCAAAGAAAAATAAACAAATTCTACTGTTTCTAATATTCCTTTATGTTGCTCAAAAACAAAATATATTGTGTT